GGTGCGGTTGGCGCAGGATAGAGCAGGGTTTAGAGCTGTTGTGCATAGGGTCGCTATGAGTCGGAAACGACTCGATGGCACATAACAACAACAACGACATTGGGCACTAAATAAACACTTAGAGCTTAATAATTTTGGTTCAGAATTTTAAAATAGTGCATATGCTTCCATTGATTTTATACTGTAGCCTGATTCTTCATATAATTAGGCTCTCTGGTGTCACATGGGACTCCTTGTGGCTTGATGACTAATAAAAATAATTTTCTAACCTTAGAACTGGTACCTTCAATGAATCAGCCATTCTGAATGATAATAATAAGTTAATGTGCTTCCATAAAGATTTACAAACTTGTAATTTTAAAAAATTTTACTTTAATAGTTTTAATGAACATTTACAGAGATTTTGGATTTCCATTTATTCAACCTTGGGATTTTTATGAGAGAATTCTGTCCTCAAAGGTTGCTGTTTATCAGAAATGAGATTTGACCAAATAGTAGCTTGGTTTTTGGTGTGTGTTGTTTTTTTTAAAATTTATTTTGAGATTATTAGTGTTTTGTTATTTAAATAAGTGTTGTGAGTTAAGTATATAACTGCTAACTTGCTAACTTATGGTCTGTTGAGTCTAGGCCTGGAGATCTAATTCCAAAAGATCATACCTAGTGAAACCCTATGCAGCACATAGGGCGTAGTTATGGTTCAAAACTGAGTAAAACACAACTGATTTGTTTTAATTGACTTTTATTCATATAGTTATATTGTTGTGTATCACAGAGTTGGAACTGACCCATAGCCGAGCCTCCAGTGGGTTTTCAGAGGCAGTTAATTGCATGGGAGGAGATTGCTCATCCTTCTTTCTCAGAGCAACTAGTGGCCTCGAACTGCATGCCTTTGGGATTGCAATACAGCTTCTTGCCACTAGGCCACCAGAGCTCCCTATTATAAATATCTGTATATTTGTATAATTAATATAATGTATGTATTATTTGTTCATATAATGATAATATTTCAAAGATATTTATGAGCATTTTGCCTCTGAAAAAAGGAGACTAATAAGAATTTTAATAAGAAGAGAAATATTAACATTACTTAAAGCACTAAAAAGAATACAAAAAAAATAAAAAAAAAGAATACACATAGAACTGAATTAAAATTACAATCCTCTTATAACTGAATCAGAAGTCTTAATATTTTGCAACGAGTGTGTCCTTAAATAAAGGTGGACCTTGAACATGTTATAACAGTATTATGGATATTAGTAAACTATGAAAGAAAGTCTATGTACCTGTATTGATATCTCTGTCTTGATTCCCCTACGTATTGCTTAGCATGGTTTAGTGAGTATAATTTATAGATTTTTTTTTCACCCTTGATAATTCTCACTGAGAATTTGTGATTGTCCCTTGAGCATTTGAAAGTTTAACAAAATATCACAGGAATGTGTGTTAATTATCCAGAAAGATATTTATTTACAAGTAAGTTTCTGGTTGTCCCCCCCCTTTATATAATAAGTGTATATGCCTACATTTATCTATTCCATTCATTCTTACATTTTACTATTTGTTAACATGCCATTTTTACCACAAGAGGATTTATATTAAAATATTATGTTCATAATATGCATCTATTTAGATTTTGGGTTGTATATTTTCCTTTAATATGTTTCAATGTTTTACATTTTTAAATTTTATCAAATCATCATTCCAAAACAACTTTCCATCTGGGGTCTTAGAACTCTTAAAACTGGCTTTTTTAGCCATTGCATTATCCATCATTTTGGGGCAGGGGAGAGGGTAGGCCTATAGCTACCTTAACTATAGACACATGATCTTGCAAATCATCAATAGTTGTGAAATAATATAAGAAAATGTTTTCCACAATGTGAAAAACAGTGGTGGAGAGAGGGTGAAGAGACTGTGGTACTGCTGTGAAGACGTTATGGTACTTCTGTGAAGACATTGTAGCAAGGTGTAATAAAAGTAAATGTGGGAATGGAGCTACAATTAAAGGTTCTGTTTTCTGGATGATTGAAGGTTTAAGCTGACTTGTAACTGCTTAGAAATAAAAGTTCCTGGATAATTGAGGAAATTAAAGGCTTCTTGCATTTGTGCTGCTGAACTGACCTGGACTGTCACTAAGTGAAGAATGTTCACAATAATCGGTAGAAATAGGTTCAGGAGCACGGGGAGTGGCATATTGGGCTGTGCAGCTCTTTGTGTGGTGCTACGGATATTATTGATGAGGACAGTTCCCCTTTATGAAGCAAGTAGAAGTCAGGCTCAGACAACCCCATGCTGCATCTGCTCCTTATAACAATTTGTGTCAGAAGAATTGGGATTCATTGCTCCAGACTTATAGAAATATGGTTTGGTTTTGTGGGGCGTGGGGAGATGTAAAATAAAAATGGTTATTATTCATTTCCATAAAGTGGAGGATAAACTCAAATTGTTACTTTTGCACTACTGAGGTGAAAGAAAAGTTGACAAGCTCCTTTATGGCCCAACTCAAAAGGGATGAAGATGAATGAAAAAGAATCTGAGAATTTATTTAAAAGTCTTTGTATTATGCTTTTATTTTTCTCTTTCTATGTCATAATGTTGTGATATATTATAAAAATTGCCATGAGGAATATATAATTTTAAGATGAATTCTAAAAATTTTTGAAGTTTTTATCAACCTAATATTAAGATATATTATAAACATTATTAAAGGATTTGTTGATTTAACTATTTTGGCTCTTGTTATACTGAGAAGTATATTGTAGATGGTGGAATGTATGATATACTTGACGATATTTGATGTGGCAATGTTCATGAGTACTGGATGTTGTATTGATGGGAAATATTGTAATTTAGAGGAAAAATGTAAACCAGTTGACTATTAATTGGATATTAAAAAAATAAACTTTGCCCTAAAATAATGCTCATATAGTAGAAATTGGTACAGCATGTGGAGTTTAGCCTAGGAAAGATTAAGCCCCATTCTGTACTTTGAAGAGAATGACGTGTGAAAGAAGAGAAGCAGAGCAAAGAGAGATTATTCCAATGAAACTGAGGTATGGTAAATCTGATACTTAACTTATGGTGACCACCTGGGTGTAGGTGATGAGTGGAAGAAGGGAGCATGAGACCTCCCTTTCTAGGAATTTATGTGAAAAAAAGCCGGCAAGTATGCTCAACTCATGGTGACCAACTAGGTCCACTGCATGAATGAAAATGAGAGGTACACAGTAATGAAGAAACAAGCTGAATTTGAACTTGTTCTCTCAGCACTATCCGCCTAGACTCATGAGTGGAGCAGGGTTGCAGGGTTGGTTTTGGAACAGGGAGTCCCATTTAGGGGTAAGGTTGAGAGAAGGAAGAGACTAGCTTGTCTGAAACACAGGAAGACATGTGGACTTCTGAGTTTGTGACTATTGCCCATTTGGACCTAGCCACAGATGGCTGGGGATGTGCTGACCAGAATCCAATCAGATTAAGAGAAGATGTTTCATTCTATGAGCTAGTGCTGATTACTATTACCTGACAATTTGTTCTGAACTGGACTTTTAATTAAAGATTTGAATGCTCAAAGTTTGGACTGTAATAAAAGATTCTTCAGAAGAATAAAAGACGTGTATCTCCTCAAGGTACACATTTGATAGGACTGAGCAAATAAATAAAATGACTATCTAAAATGAATGATTAAGACTTAAGAAGTGAAGCAGATGGCTTACATACTTCCATGAGTAGTATATATATACACACACACACA